TAATTATCTTCCTCTGGAACTGGAACATCATCGTCAAAAATTGAAAAAAGTCGAACACTCAAAGAACAAAAGAAATCGTCAAAATCAATCGTCTTATGAACTGTGATGCGCCTATCCTATTGTCACCAATTCAAGTCCTTGGGTTTGTCATTAACAGACTTGGTCAGTTGGCCTCTGTTTATAATTAAAGCCCAAGTCTCAAATTATTAAACCCCAAAACCCAAAACTAATATTATATAAAAATTTGATGCCCCTTTGGGCTTTGATGCCCTGTACGGTCGCATGGGCTGCACGTGCCCAGGGCTGGGCCTGAGCATGGATATGTGGACTAGAGGGATATGAAACCAGATATAAGAAGTTGTCATTACTCAAATGTGTCATCTGTGAATGTATGATTTGAAAATAATTATTATTTTTAAGAAAGATGAATAATTGGATGTGTTGTTTTTTATTTTTATTTTAGTTCATGTTTTTATGATTGTAAACATTATAAGTTGCAAATGTCTTTACCTCGTTAACCTGATATGTGCTTCCAAGAAATGCTTATATAAACACAAGGGTGGTGCCTGATTGGTTTGAGTTTGGGCTCCAAATGTCAAAAGTGTCTGGAGGTGAGAAAATTGGTGCAGTTATGGTCAAGGGAAAGGGTTGGGGTGGTGGGTAGTGGTTGATCTAGGAATTTAGGTGATCGGCTTAAGAATGTCAAAAAAATTTGAATGGATTTTTTAAGCATAAAATCAAGCCATTTGTAAAAGGTAAAATTATTTTTTAATCCATATCGTGATTTATTTTACCTTTGATTGGGGTCAGGAGACCCCATTAGCTTACATGTGGCTCCGCCACTACCACTGGTGGTAGGTGATGGTGAGAGAGCAGAGGGAAGGGCGGTGTCATCGGTGAAACAAAGAGAGAGAGAAAGAGAGAGAGAAAGAGAGTCGAGAGGAGGTACCGCATATATATGTTTGTATTTATATTATAAATATAGTGAGAGAGAGAGAGAGAGAGATAGAGAGGGAGAGGGAGGATCGAACGAAAATGCTATCTATTTAAGAGAATACGAAAATGGTCAAATCACAATATGTAAATCACAAGTCTTTTAAGAGTAAATCATTGGTTGCAGGACTATCACAATGTGCATGCATGGTGCATAGTTTTTAAACTTGTACGAAAAAAAAAAGAATTTATAACACATTATGTATACTATATTATAAGACATTTGATAAAAACTCTTAAAAACAATTTGTTATGTATGAAGTACTGTTTATTGATGTATATTACTTAAAATTCAAGATTACAAGTAATTTTGCATAAGTACAACTTATTAAAGCTTCATTTTAAATTTGTGTAACTAACTGCAGATAAATATAATCAAATACATGATAAACATTCATTTTAAATATGGAAAATCTCAAATATAATTAAGATAATCATTGAGTTCTAACATAATGTTTAATTATTATTTTATAAAAAAATATATTATTTAACAAAAAATAAATTACTTAGTTATTAAATCTAAATTAAATTATAATAAAAAAATGAATTAAAGAAGTTACACAAAAAAAAACTAGAATTATTAAATAATTGATTTGATACTAATATCGATTTTTTTTTTTCAAATTTTTATGCTATCTTCAAATTTATCTTTCATTCAAAAATAAAAACATTACCGTTTTCTCAAAAACACATAAAATCGTAATATATCGAAAAAGACAAAGAATAAAAACTAAACATTAAAATGAAGATTTATCTCGCCGCATTACTGACTTCGGGCATGACCAACTCCCATAGTGTGACGAGCGGTGTGTACAAGACTGTAACACCCCAAACTTCCACATTTGCCCATAACATGTACTTCATATAAAAGAAATACAATTTACACCACAAATGTCCCACTAGTACAAGAATCTTATATACAGAATTTACAACTCAAAAATTCCAAAAAAATGTTCTTGTACAATCACATGCATAACAATTGCGTCTTCAAAATAATCAAGTAACAGGTTGATCTTCCAAAACAGCAGATAAGCACATTAGAAAAATAATTACGTTTTCCCCTTCCCCTTATCCCTTGACCTAGTTGAACCTGCAATGCATATTTTAAAAATACAAAATGAAGGTTAGACCAGGAGGTCTAATGAGATAACCCTTTCTTTGCAATTACAGGGTGAAGATCACCAAAACTTGTTAAATTATTATTTGCAAATATAGATAAATATATTTCAACAAAGTTGCAAATTTGCTTGCTACCTAAAGTATGAAAACAAATAGATACTCTGCAGCACTCCTTAGAATCCTCAATATTTACTAAGCACAAAACCACGAAACTCCTCTAGCTCAATGGGTCGGAGCTCCTCTGGCTCTTAAGAACCAGAGCTCTTTTATACCAGAGTCATTTTGGTTGACCAGAGCCTCTGAACTCACATTCTAGAAATAGACAAGACTTAAATCATCCAGAGGCCCTCTGGATGACCAGAGCCTCTGATTAGTCTAGACCAAAATTAAATGAAAGAAAAGAATAATAATGGTATAACTAGAACTCCTCTGGTTCTTTACTACATTTGTAAAGGATATTAATACAGGTAAAACTTATAAATTACAATAAGATTAAAAGTTTAAAAGACATAGTTTAGACACAAAGCTCAGATACAGAGCTCATAGACGTAACTCAGACACACAACTTTCATGATACAGAACCTCTGTATGGTACATACAGAGCCTCTGGGTCAAAAGAATCCCGAAAATACTTTAAAAGATTTTCACATAACCAGAGGCCCTCTGATCCGTCTTGAAGACCAACCAGATCCTTTCTGGGTCTTATCAAACACTTGGTCCTTTAGTCAATTGTAAGTCAAAATGTTCGAATTCCAACAAAAATATTTTTAACTGAAATCACAACAAATTACTGTCTCTAGCTATAAGCCGTTTTCCCCTTCTCAATAACATCGTTGTTATTATTTCAATAAGATCAATATTCCAAGTCTTCAAGTCACAAAGAAATGTTGACTCAGAATTATCACATCTTACTGATATAACAACAAGAGTTATAATAGTCACCATACCCACAAATACCACCTTTATCCAAATGTACACCTCTCCTTGATATGCCACCCTTATCCCATGGTACACCTTTCCTTGATATGCCACCCTTATTTCCTCCTAAAATCTACAGATAAATTTGTAGTTTTAGCCAATAATGGCTTAAAAATAGTTTCATATTAGAAACTTTATCTCGAGAACTTCTCAAGTTCTTAAATTCATTTTTTGATCTCAACTCAGTATTTTCTTCAAAACAGACTTTGCGTCACAACCATTTGAAAGAAAACAACAGTATCTTTTCTCAATTTACAAACCACATTTGAAAGATACGAAAATACCCTTTCTTAGCATAAAACAGTTTAAAACTGTTAAACAACATTTGTGAAAACCACTATTTTTAATTTCACAATACTTGCATGATAACTGCCCCTAATCGGCCAACACTATGGCCGATGACCCTTCCCTATCAAACAACATAACCAAGCCGGATAACACTTGAAAATGGTAAACATACTCACTGGTCACACTCTCTTCGGTAACCATCCTCTTCAGTCAACATTATGTCTGGACACATACTCAAGAGTCTCAAATACTAAATCGTTAAACACTTGGGCGATGAGGAGCCCAATCAGGACAACTTTATGTCTGATAAAGGTCACCGGACAAGACTGTGTCTAATAAAGTTCTCATCAGACGATGAGTCAAAACACTTAACTCTTCACCGATCAAGGCATGGCCAATAAGGAACCCTTATCGGCTAGCACTCTGTCTGATTTGAGGTCCTTATCGGACCCTACAACTTAACAAGAACATATGATTATGCATACACCAGCAGATTCTAAAAACTATAAAAACAAGTAATCATGACTGTTTTTGTGATAGTAAAACTCACCTTATATAAGAATGAAATTTGAAGATGAAAACATCAACAAGAGTTTAGCTACCCAGAAAATCTCAAATCCCAATTACTTCTTTAAGCAAGAATCACACAGACTTTTACTATCTTTTTGGTTTTCTATCCAAATTTTGGCAGAAAACCTCTCTCAAAAGAAACCTTCTTTTTATAATATTGCCATAAGAGGAAGTTTAGGAAAGAAATATATATAAAAATCCTAAGGAGCCGCTGAAGAAGAGATCATTAGAAATCTTTTCCCTTCACAACCTCATGCACACACACAAACACAAACCACGCATAAATATAAATCATGCATACATACATGCATATTTTCTTTCCACTATTTCATGCATATTAACATATATATATATATATATATATATATATATATATACTAGTTGTGTACCCGTGCAATGCATCGGGAGCCGTGAATTTTAACGATTTTGAAGTTTCACTGGTTTTATTAGAGAAGATTTAATGATAATAT